GTGAGTCCCAGGCATCTAGTTAAGATCCCCATCTGCGGTGCGCGTAGCGACCCGGGTGATATGCTCGGCGGTGAGTTTAATCGAAAGAACACTATCGCTAATCTGCGTCGGAGCGCGTAGTCTGCCCGCCATCTTCATATTATCATTTGTAATGTTGCGTGTCTTGAAATTGTCAATGGTCGCTAGTATCTTTTGCAGAAATGCTCTAAATTATCAACGGTCGCTATTATCATCTTCTACTATTGTCTCCTGGTTGCGTGTCTTGAAGTTGTCAAGTAATCCTAGTTTTGCTGCGATGTGTTTGTCGGAGGAAGTCCACATTTTACACACGACTAAGGCCCTGTTAGAGTATTTGTTTGGCGGCAATAATATGGGGTGGAAGTTCGAAGGGGAGCCAAATATTTTGCTAGTCCAACCACTTTCTTAGTCAAAACCTTGAATTTGAAGTTTATTGCTAGTATGATGCAAGCACCATATTTTTATATAGACCAAGTAAACGCCTTTACGTCCAGAAACATTTCTTTATTGTCTGTTTTCATACTGGGTAAAGTGTGGATCTTGGTTAGTTAAAGATAACTGAAATCCACCTTAAAAGGTGGGGGGGGGGGGGGGTGGAAGAGGGGGTTGAACACACGGCCACTGGATGGGCCAGCAAGTGTACTATCTGTTGTGTTAGAGCAGCTCTCTGTAACTCTCTCTCTCTCTCACTCTCTCACACACACACACACATACGGATAGAGCGAGAGAGTGCGTGGGGGACATGCTGGGGCTAAACTAGATCAATACTTGAACATCATGATTCAGAGAAGCCTGACTTAGTCAACAAATGTAAAAAACAAAACAGTTGGATGTTTCAGCTGAAAGGCACAACTGATGCTGCGACTGTGCTGTAAACAGACATGATATTAATGACTTGAACTTGTCAGGTGGAAAGCTATAGAGTTTAAAAAGAAAATGCAGTGAAGCACAAACCTTGAATCCTTTGCACTGAAATACACAGATGATATTGTTTGTTTCCCCACTGCAGATCTCACCAACCTTGAATCCTTTCCACTGAAATACACAGATGATATTGTCTGTTTCCCCACTGCAGATCTCACCAACCTTGAATCCTTTGCACTGAAATACACAGATGATATTTGTGTTTCCCCACTGCAGATCTCACCAAGCTTGAATCCTTTGCACTGAAATACACAGATGATATTGTCTGTTTCCCCACTGCAAATCTCACCCTTTGCACTGAAATACACAGATAATATTGTCTGTTTCCCCACTGCAGATCTCACCCTTTGTACTGAAATACACAGATGATATTGTCTGTTTCCCCACTGCAGATCTCACCCTTTGTACTGAAATACACAGATGATATTGTCTGTTTCCCCACTGCAGATCTCACCCTTTGTACTGAAATACACAGATGATATTGTCTGTTTCCCCACTGCAGATCTCAGCCTTTGTACTGAAATACACAGATGATATTGTCTGTTTCCCCACTGCAGATCTCACCCTTTGTACTGAAATACACAGATGATATTGTCTGTTTCCCCACTGCAGATCTCACCAACCTTGAATCCTTTCCACTGAAATACACAGATGGTATTGTCTGTTTCCCCACTGCAGATCTCACCAGCCTTGAATCCTTTCCACTGAAATACACAGATGGTATTATCTGTTTCCCCACTGCAGATCTCACCCTTTCCACTGAAATACACAGATGGTATTGTCTGTTTCCCCACTGCAGATCTCACCAACATAAGTCTGAGCTCAACTGCCTGATAATCTGGAAGTGTAGGATTAACCTTAGAACCCTTTTTTTTTTTTACACATCACAGGCTTGTCCTATTTAAACTGCCTCTACTTCAGCAGTTTCAGTAATCACCTGTTTGATGTGTGATAAATAAAGCATAAACCTTATCGACCATGTGCCTAGAGTCTAGCAGATGTCTTCCTTAGGAAGAATCAGGCTCTTTCCTATTGGTTGATCTTGAATAAATCACTGGATCCCTACTCAGTTGCTGATTTGCGATGTGCTCCACTACTTCCAGTCTCTCTGTCAGTTATACAAGTATCAGTTAACTGACACTTACATTTAAATTGCTAAATGGAATTGTATTTAGTGTTACAAGATTTAGTTCTGTAACAGGTAGGGTTGGGATTGAGGTGGTCTTGTATCTAACAGCTCAAAATAAAAAATAAAAAACATCAGTTCTTCTTTACTTTATGTTGTAGACAGAAATTAAAAGGAGAATGACCCTAGCAATGCAAAGATTAAACAGCTTCAAAAGGCTTTGGTTAAGCACCAACAAGGAAATCAAAAAAAGAATTTAGACAGCATGCGTCTTCCCTGTAGCAACTTACGTATGTGAATCATGGACTATCTCCCGTTCCTTAAGAAAGAGAATAGGGGCTTTTGAGTTGAAATGCTGTAGAAAGATTCTCAGAATATCTGGGACAAATAAGAGGAGAAATACTGACATCTTGAAAGATCAAGGAAGATTGGCTAATAAACAGCATCCTGTCTCGGAAGCTGAAATATTTTGGTCATATCAAGTGCCACGACGGATTGGAAAAAATGATAGCAGAAGGCATGGTACCAGGAAGGCATGGTACCAGGAAGGAGGAGCAGGGGCCGACCGACACGAAGATGGGCACAGGATATAAGTGACTCCTTGAGTATGAAACTACATGAGGCTGAAGAGCTGGCGAGAGACCGTGTTTCTTTCAGGCAGACCGTGATGAGAGAGTGACGTTCTGCAAAGGACCTGCTACATGATGATGATAACTGTAGACATCTGAAATTGTCCAGCAGCGAGAGCTATGTTGACCACAACACCCATCGAGTAATGATTGGTCTATAAAATATGACTAAATGTGTTACTGATGTGTACAGTAAAGCCTCATATACCCAATGTGTTACTGATGTGCACAGTAAAGCCTCATATACCCAATGTGTTACTGATGTGCACAGTAAAGCCTCATATACCCAATGTGTTACTGATGTGCACAGTAAAGCCTCATATACCCAATGTGTTACTGATGTGCACAGTAAAGCCTCATATACCCAATGTGTTACTGATGTGCACAGTAAAGCCTCATATTATACCCAATGTGTTACTGATGTGCACACAGTCCTCGACCTGTTACTTTTCAAACCCTGTGATATGTTGACATCATTCAGTTATTCAGCAGTGTCTGCTATCACACGGTTGCTCCAGAATTTCATTGCCCCAAATTTTGTTTTTTGTGTACAAAGGTAAAACTTGCTGAGAATACTGGAACTGGTTTTATCTGCTTTCATTGTTTGAAGGATGCAGTTGTATCGGTCACATGAGGAATTTACGTTTAGTCAGTGAAGGTCATTAGGTCAAGGCTGTTTTCTTTTTCAAAAGTGAGTAAATTTTTTTAGTGGTATATCTTTATTCTGTAAATGAAGCGTTATATGCCTGTTTTATTGGTTGCATATGGCGATTTTATCATATGATATCCTTGTCTGATTTCCTTACATTTTGCAGATGACATTGATCACATGGCTGGTTCCGAAGCAGAACTCTAAGAATTTACTACAAAATTAGAGAGTCAGTGGTAAATATGGCAAGGGAATTAATGCTGAGAAAAGCAAGATTCTGGGGTAAATAGTCACAATAATCAAGTACCTACCACCATACAGATTAAAGGGAAAAAACTAGAAGTTGAAACCTGCCTCAGCTCCCACATAGGAAACAATGGCTGCTGTACCAAAGAGATCAAGACAAGTCTTGATATGACAACAGCCATGATTTCCCAGCTGAATGCCATGTGGATGAGCAAAATCAGCATCACAGTTAAGATCACCAAATACAGATCACTGGTATTGTCTCAGATAAGATCACTATATACAAATCACTGATATTGTCTCAGATAAGATCACTATATACAGATCACTGGTCTTGTCTCAGATAAGATCACTATAAACAGATCACTGGTCTTGTCTCAGAAAAGGCTACTATATACAGATCACTGGTCTTGTCTCAGATACGATCACTATATACAGATCACTGGTATTGTCTCAGATAAGATCACTATATACAGATCACTGGTCTTGTCTCAGATAAGATCACTATATATACAGATCACTGGTATTGTCTCAGGTAAGATCACTATACAGATCACTGGTATTGTCTCAGATAAGATAACTATATACAGATCACTGGTATTGTCTCAGATAAGATCACTATATAAAGATCACTGGTATTGTCTCAGATAAGATCACTATATATAGATCACTGGTATTGTTTCAGATAAGATCACTATATACAGATCACTTGTCTTGTCCCAGATAAGATCACTATATACAGATCACTGGTCTTGTCTCAGAAAAGATCACTATATACAGATCACTGGTATTGTCTCAGATAAGATCACTATATACAGATCACTGGTATTGTCTCAGATAAGATCACTATATACAGATCCCTGGTCTTGTCTCAGATAAGATCACTATTTACAGATCACTGGTCTTGTCTCAGATAAGATCACTATATACAGATCACTGGTATTGTCTCAGATAAGATCACTATATACAGATCACTGGTCTTGTCTCAGATAATATCACTATATACAGATCACTGGTATTGTCTCAGATAAGATCACTTTATGCAGATCACTGGTATTGTCTATTTTCTAATGCGGGTGTGAGAGTTGGACTCTCAGTGTGAAAATGAAAACGAGGAAGAAGAACTGGAATGACAGCATCAAGAATAGACAGGACTAGCTTATCATAAACTTATTCATCAATTGGTAAACAGAGAAAGATAGTGGATTTTTGAGTGCTGGCGTTTCTATATCGATACACATTCACAACACTAACAGGTCAAGGGTTATGTTATGTTCACTGTGTGATTCCATTGTGTGTGTGTGATTTTATTAGGTAATTCCATTGCCTGATTTCACTGCATGATTTCATTGTGTGATTTCATCATATGATTTCACTGTGTGATCTCACTGTGGGCTTCTATTTCCAGATGGACGACTTGAGCCTCTCATTGGCAATCATGCTGACCCTGCTTGGTGTTATCGCCACGGTGATGACCATGTACCGAAAGTACCGGCTGCGGCACTACTCGATCCCGGTGAGAGATCCGACCAAGGGCCACAGGTTCTTCATGGTGGACATGTTTACCACCACCACCTACTGCAATGTGGAGGAGACCAGGTTGATCCACGGTGCCCGGTGCGACACTTGTGGCATCTGTGTGGATGACAGTCAGATGAAGGAAGCCAACAAGAGAATCCCCTGCAAGGCTGTCTCTTCCAAAGATACTGTCATGAAGCACCACTGGGTCAGAGGCAATTTGCCAAACTACAGCGAGTGTATGATCTGCAGCCAGGATTGTGGGATGGAATTTTCTCTCAGTGACCTTCGTTGTGCCTGGTGTAAGAACACTGTGCATGATTCATGTGCTGCCAAGACTGACACGTGTGATCTCGGCAAATACCAACAGTTTATTGTACCTCCCACCTGTTTGGAGGTCAAGTGGGTGGGGGTCAAGGGCACCAGACAGAGGCATCTGATCATCAAAAATGTCCGCCATCTCAAGGTGGGACTGTGGACGCCACTGATTGTCATCGCCAACAGGAAGAGTGGAAGTAACGATGGGGAACTGTTGCTGAGGAACTTCCGCGGCTATTTAAATTCTGCCCAGGTTTGTTATACGTAGGGATTGAATATGTCCTTCATCGTTTATTCATCTATATTATCTGTTTCTGCTTTGTCTTATCATATCTTATGTTGTCTGTTTGTCTGATCTTATCTAGTCTGATCTTATCTTATATAATGTATTTGTGTTGCCTGGTAAAGTCCACATATCTTGTCCATTCTACTTTTCTATCTACTCATATTGTTCCTGTCTTGTCTAGTCTGGTTATCTCATTTAGAATATCTTGTCTAGTATACTTCTCTTGACTAGTTAACATGTCTTTTCTCATCTGCTTTGTCTAGTCTGGTTATCTCATTTAGAATATCTTGTCTAGTTTACTTCTCTTGTCTTGTTTACATGTCTTTTCTCATCTGTCCTGTCTAGTCTGGTTATCTCATTTAGAATATCTTGTCTAGTTTACTTCTCTTGTCTTGTTTACATGTCTTTTCTCATCTGTTTTGTCTAGTCTGGTTATCATATTTAGTATATCTTGTCTAGTTTATTTCTCTTGTCTTGTTTACATGTCTTTTCTCATCTGTTTTGTCTAGTCTGGTTATCATATTTAGTATATCTTGTCTAGTTTATTTCTCTTGTCTAGTTTACATACCTTATCTCATCTGTTTTGTCTAGTATAGTTATCTTATTTAGTATATCTTGTCTAGTTTATTTCTCTTGTCTAGTTTACATGTCTTATCTCATCTGTCTTGTCTAGTCTGGTTATCTCTTTTAGAATATCTTGTCTAGTTTACTTCTCTTGTCTAGTTTACATGTCTTATGTCATCTGTCTTGTCTAATCTGGTTATCTCATCCAAGACATCAGCCCAGTGCTGGGAGAACATGATTGATACTGTGTAGTTAATGAGTTGTTGTTTCCCAGGTGATTGACATCCAAGCTCAGTGTTTGGAGAACATGATTGATACTGTGTAGATAACGAGTTGTTGTTCTCCAGGTGATTGACATCCAAGACATCAGCCCAGAGAATGCCCTGGAATGGTGCAACCTGCTGCCAGATGTCACATTTCAGCTGCTGGTGTGTGGTGGGGACGGTACCATCGGCTGGGTTCTCACTGCCATAGAGCGGCTTCAGCTGCAGGTAGGCACTTTGTCTTCAGTTGGCAATCATTGATTCTTCTTTCTCTGTGTTAAAACAACAGGTAGTTGTGGAGTTTTAAAGGCGAAAAGGCTAAATAACAAAAACAAAAAATTCACACACAAATGCACACACGCGCGCGCACACACACACACACACACACATATGAATGTATACACACCCTCAAACACATCCACCCACTCTATCTGTGTGTGTATGTACCAGTATGTATATGTGTTGTCTTAACATACTCAGTACAGTGTTTACTATTGGTGTTCATATTGTTGTTTGCTGGCAAATGAATCGACATAAAACTTTGTGAAAGTTACATGCCCAGATAGCTGCTCAGTTTTGGATTTTTAAAGTCAAAGTTGTTTCATTCTGTTTGTCGCATATACTCACTGTATCCAATACACGTTCTCAAAAAAAAAACCCACAAAAAAACACACACACACACACACACGCACATGCACATGCACGCGCGCGCACACACACACACACACACACACACACAGAGAGAGTCTCTCTCTCTCTCTCTCTCTGTCTCTCTCTCTCTCTGTCTCTCATACACTGTTTCTCACACATTCTTATGCACACAGCCACTATCAGACAAGCCCACTTCTTAACTTTTTTGGGAAAAAGAACAATTTATTTGTTCATTTGTTCTCTCTCACACACACTGTCTCTCACACAAATGCCCACACACACACACACGCACACACACACACACACACACACACACACACACACACACACACACACACACACACACACACACACACACACACACACACACACACACAGAGTCTCTTTCTCTCATCTACTGTCACATACACTCACACAACTCTCTTATGCCCACCTGTCTGACACACTCTTTGGCAGTGGTGATATTTATGTCACAAAAGTCAACAACCTGATACAAAGTTCAGTATTGCATCACTTCCCCTGGCTCATGCATGGTCACCCCCAGCATGTCTTTATTGTCCTGTGCCCACCTACCATTTAGAGCCTTTTGCCTCCTTCCAAGCACCGAGCCTTCTATGAACGAATGTCTCAGTTTCTGTCTTCAGTGATCCCTGGTCATGTGCTTAATCCCTTACAGCCTGAAAACTGGGATGTCAGCTGGAGATCTCAGGTTTCCCCAAAGCTGAGTCTACTGGGTGTGGCCACACGTTGTTTTGCAGCTCCTCCAAGAGAGGACATTCTTGTGCTGTTGTCTCAGGTCCCAAAGCATGAAAATGTTGTATGAGCCAGTATTCTACCATCTTTATATCTTAAACAGAGTTGTTTTCTTCTTGTTCTTCTCATTCTTGTTTTGTAATCTTCTCAGATTATCTCTGTAGCACGTAACACAGTCAGTCAGAAAGCTTCAGTTTTTCTCTTTGGTTTTGTAAAACGATCAGTGATTCACAGCCTTAGTTGACACAGGAAATAGGTTTCTTATAAGAATACTTTCATTTATTTGCTGTTATATGACGGGTTGTGAATTGTGTGTAACCAGCCTAACAGTGGTAATGGTGATAGTAAGTGTTGCAGTGATGGTCATGATAATTGTTACAGTATAATGATGGTGATAATTGTTACAGTGATAATGTTGATGATAATTGTTACAATGGTAATTATAACAATAAAAAGTTTCAGGGATAATGATGAGAATAATTGTTACAGTGATAATGACGATTATTGTTACAAGGATAATGACAATGATAATTGTTACATTGATAATGATGATTGTGACAATGATAATGATAATTGTTACAGTGATAATGATAATTGTTACAATGATAATTGTTACAATGATAATGATAGGGATAATTGTGACAGTGAAAATGATGATGATAATTGTTACAGTAGTGATAATAATGATGATTGTTACAGTAATAATGATGATTGTTACAGTGTTAATTATGATTTTTAAAGTGATAATGATGATGATAATTATTGCAGTGATAATGATAATTTTTACAGTGATAATGATTATTGTGACAGTGAAAATGATAATTGTGTCAGTGATAAAAATAATTGTTACAGTAATAATTATGATCACATTTGTTGCAGTGATAATAATAATTGTTACAGTGATAATGATGATTATTGTTACAGTGATAATGATAATTGTTACAGTAAAAATGATAATTGTTTTGGTGATAAAGATACTTGTTACTGTGATAATGATAAGTGTTACAGTGTTAAAGATAATTGGTACAGTGATAATGATAATTGTTATAGTGATAATGATACTTGTCTCATTAAAATGATAATTGTTACAGTAATTATGATAACTCTGACAGTGTTAATGATAATTGTTACAGTAATAATGATAAATGTTACAGTAAAAATGATAATTGTTACAGTGATAATGATAATTGTTATAGTGATAATGATAATCATGATTGTTACAAGGAAAATGATAAGGATTATTGTTACAGTGATAATGATGATTGTTACAGTAATATTTATAAGTTATAAGTGATAATGATAAATGTTACAGTGGTAATAACGATGACAGTAGTGCTGTAATTGTGACATTAATCTTTTGTTTCTGTGATGATTGTGCTTGCATATCTGTGAATTTGAACAGACATTAATATAATAATAATGCAAGTAATGAATTAAGGGCAATATCATTTTTCCAGAATCCTCCTCACATCTGCATCCTCCCACTTGGGACAGGAAATGACCTTTCACGGGTGCTGGGTTGGGGTGAAGGCTACACTGGAGATGTTGAAGTGGAAAAGATCCTCAATGATATTAAAAAAGCCAAGCCAGTAAAACTAGACAGGTAAACAAAACTATGCTTGTTGCAGATGGGAGCTATAACAGTGCAGTCAGTCATTAACAGGTTAGTCAAAACTATGCTTGTTGCAGATGGGAGCTATAACAGTGCAGTCAGTCATTAACAGGTTAGTCAAAACTATGCTTGTTGCAGATGGGAGCTATAACAGTGCAGTCAGTCATTAACAGGTTAGTCAAAACTATGCTTGTTGCAGATGGGAGCTATAACAGTGCAGTCAGTCATTAACAGGTTAGCCAAAATTGTGCTTGTTGCAGATGGGAGCTATAACAGTGCAGTCAGTCATTAACAGGTTAGCCAAAATTGTGCTTGTTGCAGATGGGAGCTATAACAGTGCAGTCAGTCATTAACAGGTTAGCCAAAATTGTGCTTGTTGCAGATGGGAGCTATAACAGTGCAGTCAGTCATTAACAGGTTAGCCAAAGTTATAATCATGAACTTTAGAAAAGTTTAGTTCAGTGTAGACTTACTAAGTAGTCAGGTATCTATCATCATGAATTACTGGGCAGTCAAGCGTCTTTAATCATGAAATACTGGGCAGTTATGACAATCTGGACAGTCAGATATCTTTCATCTTGAAATACCAGGCAGTCAAGTGTTTTTCATCTGGAAATACTGGACAGTCAGGTATCTTTCATCATGAAATACTGGACAGTCAGGTAACGTTCCTCAAGAAACTCTGAACAGTCAGGTAACGTTCATCATGAAATACTGGACAGCCAGGTAACATTCATCATGAAATACTGGACAGTCAGGTAACGTTCATCATGAAATACTGGTCAGGTAACATCCGTCATGAAGTACTGAAGAGTCAGGTAACATTCATCATGAAATACTGGAAAGTCAGGTAACCTTCATCATGAAATACTGGACAGTCAGGTAACATCCATCATGAAATACTGGGCAGTCAGGTAACATCCGTCATGAAGTACTGGACAGTCAGGTAACATTCATCATGAAATACTGGACAGTCAGGCGTCTTTAATCATGAAATACGGGCAGTTATGAAAATCTGGACAGTCAGATATCTTTCATCTTGAAATACCAGGCAGTCAAGTGTTTTTCATCTTGAAATACTGGACAGTCAGGTATCTTTCATCATGAAATACTGGACAGTCAGGTAACGTTCATCATGAAATACTGAACAGTCAGGTAATGTTCATCATGAAATACTGGACAGTCAGGTAACATTTATCATGAAATACTGAACAGTCAGGTAACATCCATCATGAAATACTGGGCAGTTATGAAAATCTGGACAGTCAGATATCTTTCATCTTGAAATACCAGGCAGTCAAGTGTTTTTCATCTTGAAATACTGGACAGTCAGGTATCTTTCATCATGAAATACTGGACAGTCCGGTAACGTTCATCATGAAATACTGGACAGTCAGGTAATGTTCATCATGAAATCCTGGGTTATGCATCACCAGCAGTACATCACTGTGAGGAATTTAGTTCGAGTGGTTGACTTTGCTGAAAGTTACACGTGTGTCCTGCTCTATTGTTTGCTTTCTATGTTGTCTTGCATTTGCATTGTCATTCCGAGAAAGAGAATGCCTCTGCCATAGGTTGCGGCACTCTCTAGGGAGTTGTGTAAGACCCAGTTTCTCCATGTTTTTGGAGTGTTAAGAGTGCTGAAATATACAACACAGGATATCAGCAGCATTGCGAAACACCCCTGTAACGTCGTGCCAAGATGACAGATTCAGGAACTACAAATCAGAAGTGAGCTAGTGTGTGAATGAGTGGGGTGTGTGGAGATTAACGCTGCGTGTACCTAATTTTGGAATGCTATGGTATGCCAGTAAAAATAAAAAATATTTTTAAAGCAGTTTATACAGGCTCAGCATGTGCAGTGTGAAGGATGATGGTTTAAGTCATTGGTGTGGAGCTGAAACTGGAGTGACACAGGGATGTATTTCATCTCCTGTGTTATTTGGTATAGCTGTTGCCTGGGTGATGAAAAACGTTTTTATTGGAATGAACAGCATTAAGTGGATGAAGAACACACAGTGAGAAGATTTCTGTTGTTGCAGTGATGTCGGTAGCTAAGTAAGAACAGCAATAACAGATAATCTAGCAAATATAGCATCAGTGGTTAGGCTATAAATAAGTTAGGACTCAGCACATGAACTGGTGCATTCTGTTGGAGTTCGGCAAGGCACTTGGTGATGATGAAATAATTTATTTTTATCAGCTATAGCAATTTTATTTTAAATTTTTGCTGCAGATGGTCGGTGGATATCAAGCATGAGAAACATTTTGGTTTAGCGAGACCTTCCAAGGTAAACCAAATACAGTCTGTTCATGTTTGGTTTTTTATGATTCTTCTTCTTGTTTTCTCTACTCCTGAAATGCCTTGTAGCATCAGGGCAGGAAGCGATCTCGTCTGTTTGCTTCATATATACTACTTTTCAGTGTCTCTGATTTTTTCACAGTCAATTTCTGAGTGGTTGTCCTCTGGCTCTATTACTGCTGTATCAATAAAACATTTTTTTTTGGGTAGTGCTGTATCTGTTACCAGACTTGCTACATGGCTAAACTTTGTAGATACATCTTAGTAAAACTGGACTCCTGGCAGCTGGACAGTTTTGGAGATGTGCTCATTAATTGCTCTTTCCTCTTCTGTCCGGTTCAGTGTCAAGAGGCAAAAGAAGTGCTTGGGACTTCTTGGCAAAAGTTAATGGTCGACGTTTGGTGCAGGAGAGCCTAGCATATGATACCACAACATCCAGCTTAAGAATGGAGGTGGAGGCGGTCACTGCAGCTTTCTGCTGGCTAGAGAGCACACATACACATCGTGATTGTAACTGATTCAGAAAGCATGCTGAGGAAGATCAGAACAGGTATGCTTCATGCAGAGTGGCATGCTTCGTTGCGGAGGAGACAGGTGAGGAGTATTGTCTGGATTTTTTCACCGGGGCACGCCGGTGTGTTGGGACAGTCTGGCTGGCTCTGCACAACTTGGTGGAATACTGATGCATGATAAGGCAGACGTGGTTAGTGCCTTGTGGGAGAGCGTGTACAGTTCGGAGGAGCAGATGGATCACCACAGTCTGGTGAGATTGATGCAGCGGGGAGTGACGAGAGGTTCTGGCAGATGCTCGAGGCTCAGAGGAAAGGCAAGATGGACGTTTAATCAGAATGCTACTGGCACCATTAGTATCGAAACTCTTCGCTGGCTGCTGAAGATGGGGACGGAGCACTTATGGGAATGCCCCGAGTGATGTGAAATCGGTTCATGAATCAGATCAATCAATCAAATCCTCTTCTGTCCACGGGTGTAACCATATCTCATTTCGTCTCTCTTTTCTACCTAAGGTGTAGGTGTATTTTACTATCTCCTCTATTCTTTCCTTGTCTGTCATTACAGTTTTATTTAGTCTTTCCTCTTCTACATTGGGGCTTGTGATCTTTATTTGTCTTCTTTTTCCTGAAGGTTTATAGACATTGTATAATTTGTTTTGTTTTTCAGTTTCTGCTGTCTCTTGCAGTCTATGAGTAAAGATACTATGGTTGCCATGTTTCAAATGTTTTTTTTTTGGGTCATTTATGCACAAACTTTTGATTTTCTAAAGCCTACAGCCTCACAGTCGTGGGTGATGGAACAGAGACTGAGACTGTATGGCAATGTTTGGATTATTTTAAAATATAGAAACAAACAGAAAGTGTGTCCATCACTAACAAGTTGTCCCTGTCATTGTATAATGGTCCATGTCAATGGCACTGTGATATCAATCACAGGTGTCAGAGAGGGTTAATGCCCTTGTCATATGTATAAGGAGTTACTCCATACCTCACCACGGTGATACTGATCACAGGTGTCAGAGAGGGTTAATGCCCTTGTCATATGTATAAGGAGTTACTCCATACCTCACCACGGTGATACTGATCACAGGTGTCAGAGAGGGTTAATGCTCTTGTCGTATGTATAAGGAGTTACTCCATACCTCATCACGGTGATATCGATCACAGGTGTCAGAGAGGGTTAATGCCCTTGTCATATGTATAAGGAGTTACTCCATACCTCACCACGGTGATACTGATCACAGGTGTCAGAGAAGGTTAATGCCCTTGTCGTATGTATAAGGAGTTACTCCATACCTCATCACGGTGATATCGATCACATGTGTCAGAGAAGGTTAATGCTGTTGTCATGTGTATAAGGAGTTACTCCATACCTCATCACGGTGATATCGATCACAGGTGTCAGAGAAGGTTAATGCTGTTGTCATGTGTATAAGGAGTTACTCCATACCTCACCATGGTGATATCGATCACAGGTGTCAGAGAGGGTTAATGCTGTTGTCATGTGTATAAAGAGTTACTCCATACCTCACCTTGGGCACCAGCCAGCTCTGGGATGATGTTACATATCCTCAAGCAAGACTCTTGCCGCTTATGCACATCTTACTGCATATCTTTTGTGACGGCAGGAGATCTGAGAGGTGGTGACCTCTTGAGAGATAGTGTCCAGTCTGTCTTACATCAGCTTACCCCCATTGCTTGGGTGAAAACATCTATCAAAGCCAGCTTGGAACATGGGTAACCACCGCTAGCCAAACACACTGCTTAATGACAACCCTCAGTTAAAATTTCTGTCGAGTGGGAAGAACTACTCTACTGCTGAGGTTCAGCCCTATAACAAGAGATTTGCTTGAAGCCTAGACAAGCAACATCTCTTGCGGACAGTAACCCGCGGAAGTCATCTCCATAATCCTTTGTTGCCCTGAGGTACACCATGACATCCTGCCACTGTCAGCTGATTTGACATACATAATATCTGATGTATTATATGTATTTTCAGACACATGTCCTAATGCACCACAACAAAATCTTGAATGTCCGACTGCAAAAAGTCCTACTAATCTGCAGAATGGTTCAAGTGTACATTAGCCCCACTCAGCAGAGTGGCAGGACCTGAAAGGGGAGCCATGCCGGATGCATGCTTTTGCCATACTGCCTTGCTGTTTCCAGATGAAACAATGTTAAAGATGTCCAATAGCTTCAGAAAAATGTGTCTGTTTGTGTGGTTATCAAAGCTCCAGATCTGCAGTCTACTCCCCGCTGATCTCCGGAGGGCACAGCCAGTGACCACTAGGAAGCTCAACAAACGGATGTGAGGTTAAGCAGTCATGTGCAGGACGTGACGATTCCTTGGATGAGCCCAGGACCAGAGCGTCAAGTGTCGGTTCTGCATTTATGTAAACCTCTTTAGATGGCGGGAAATGCCGAGGTTCTGCCCTGGCTTTGCTTAAGGGCCGACCAGCCTACATGTGTTGGCCTCCTGTTTTAATCAAATAATTTTTTTTTTTATATTTGGAAAAAGGGAGGGGAAAGGGGGGGGGGGGGGGGGGGGGGGGGGGGGACGCCACCTGAAGAAAGTTGGAGACCACTGCTAGAAGGTTCTGTGTACTCTAGAAGTTTCCTCTTTCCTTATAACGATCACTTATTGGTCTAGAATGTCGTGTCACCAGAAGATTCCCTATTTGTTTAGAAGATTTCCTGATTGCTTAAAAAAAATTTCCCCACATCTGCATTCATTCCCTATTACTTCTACAATTGCTCTTACTTCTCTCTCAGACTGAAAAAAAATAATAGTTGACCTTAACTTGTCTGTAACTTGTATTCCCAGACTTACATCATGAACAACTACCTGTCAGTCGGAGTAGATGCCCTTGTGACCTTGAACTTCCACAGACAACGAGAGAGTTGGCCAGCTTTGTTTGCTCACAGGCTCATTAACAAGGTCAGCAGACATCCACAGCCAAGTGCTGACAGATAAGCACTTTCCCCAGTCTCATTACACTACAGCTCAATATTCAAGTAACACACAGTTTGCTCATACCATATTGTAGTGATATACGTAAGAAGGGACTCACATGTATGCATACGTCAGTGCGAAACAGAACATATGCCAGTCTTAGTAGTCAGCCTTTTTTTTTATTTGCATCGGGCATATGATGCTAGATTTCTATTTCTATAGACCTATCAGCACTCAGTGGGTGATGTGGTCAACAACACACTGGCCGCCTTTACTTCCCAGAACATTACCTGATGCTCATTTTAGGCTGGGAGGAGGGTCAGTTTTGAAGAACAAATCTGACATTATGCAGATTCAAACCACAAACCTTCAGGTAGCAAGCAAGATGCTGAAAGTAGATGTTGCTTATCTGTGTTACAGTGTCCAGTAGGAACCCACTTGAGTTGATGAAAGTACCTTACAGAACTATTAAAGATTGCAGAAGAGACTGTACAATACCTATTCCATCACAGTCATAACTGTATCAATATTTGTTGAGAAACGCCACCAGTCTAAACACCTGAGATTAAGTGAATAATGATATGAAAAGACAGATTGTAGGAACAACACCTTGTGCTAGATTCATCAAGTGGTTTGGTCAACGCATAAGAATGCAGCATCATATGCCATCACAGGCACTACATCTCAGAAGATCAGATACAAGAACAAGAGGAAGACCACAAAATATGGATCAGCAACATTAAAGACACTTCACATCTTCCAGACATGACAATAGCCAGTGCCAGCCTGCCAGTCCTGCATCGCAAATTATTCCTCCCTGTGATGCTTACTGGCAGACGTGGTTTATGATGATGATGGTGATCAGTACTTTTTGGCAACACTAACACAGAATGACAAAACAGAATGTGAATAGTTTTGTATCATACACTCAGAATAGAATGTGAATAGTTTTGTATCATACACTCAGAATAGAATGTGAATAGTTTTGTATCATACACTCACAATAGAATGTGAATAGTTTTGTATCATACACTCACAATAGAATGTGAATAGTTTTGTATCATACACTCACAATAGAATGTGAATAGTTTTGTATCATACACCCACAATAGAATGTGAATAGTTTTGTATCATACACTCACAATAAAATGTATATAGTTTTGTATCATACGCTCACAATAGAATGTGAATAGTTTTGTATCATACACTCACAATAGAATGTGAATAGTTTTGTATCATACACTCACAATAAAATGTGAATAGTTTTTGTATCATACACTCACAATAGAATGTGAATAGTTTTGTATCATACATTCACAATAGCATGTGAATAGTTTTGTATCATACACTCACAATAGAATGTGAATAGTTTTGTATCATACACTCACAATAGAATGTGAATAGTTTTTGTATCATACACTCACAATAGAATGTGAATAGTTTTGTATCATACACTCACAATAGCATGTGAATAGTTTTGTATCATACACTCACAATAGAATGTGAATAGTTTTGTATCATACACTCACAATAAAATGTATATAGTTTTGTATCATACACTCACAATAGAATGTGAATAGTTTTGTATCATACACTCACAATAGCATTTGAATAGTTTTGTATCATACACTCACACTAGAATGTGAACAGTTTTGTATCATACACTCACAATAAAATGTATATAGTTTTGTATCATACACTCACAATAGAATGTGAATAGTTTTGTATCATACACTCACAATAGAATGTGAATAGTTTTGTATCACACACTCACAATAGAATGTGAATAGTTTTTGAATCATACACTCACAATAGAATGTAAATAGTTTTGTATCATACACTCACAATAGAATCTGAATAGTTTTGTATCATACACTCACAATAGAATGTGAATAGTTTTGTATCATACACTCACAATAGAATGTGAATAGTTTTTGTATCATACACTCACAATAGAATGTGAATAGTTTTGTATCATACACTCACAATAGAATGTGAATAGTTTTGTATCATACACTCACAATAGCATGTGAATAGTTTTGTATCATACACTCACAATAGAATGTGAATAGTTTTGTATCATACACTCACAATAAAATGTATATAGTTTTGTATCATACACTCACAATAGAATGTGAATAGTTTTGTATCATACACTCACAATAGAATGTGAATAGTTTTGTATCATACACTCACAATAGAATGTGAATAGTTTTTGTATCATACACTCACAATAAAATGTATATAGTTTTGTATCATACAGTCACAATAGAATGTGAATAGTTTTGTATCATACACTCACAATAGAATGTGAATAGTTTTGTATCATACACTCACAATAGAATGTGAATAGTTTTTGTATCATACACTCACAATAGAATGTGAATAGTTTTGTATCATACGCTCACAATAGAATCTGAATAGTTTTGTATCATACACTCACATTAGAATGTGAATAGTTTTGATTAGAGCTTGATCTTGCAAGCCGGAAAAATAATGCTAAAGTAATTGAGTGAAGAATGAAAAAAAATGAACAAATACTAAATGAGTATCAGTTTGAATTCCATTTGAAAACAAGAATAAGAAACACAAATTTGCCATTGTAAACATAAAATACATCAGAAAGCATATCCATGAGTGTAAACATACATTTCATCAGATAGCATATCCATCAGTGTAAACACTCATAATACATAAAAAAACATAATCTCTGATGTATTGAATGTATTTTCTTCAAAAGATATGCTGTCTCACATATATATTTCCATAGACAGATATGCTTTATGACACACTTTATGTATTTACACTGACTGATACAATATCTGACATATTATATGTGTTTTCTCTGACCTATGTGTGTCTGATATGTTATGTGTGTTTTCTCTGACATTTATGTTTAATCACATGTTACATCTGTTTCTCTAACAGAGATACTCTGTGATGTATTTATGAATGTGTTCCTTCTGACAGAGATACTCTATGATGTATTGTATGTGTTCCTTGTGATACAGATACTCTATTATGTTTTATGTGTGTTCGTTCTGACAGAGATACTCTATGATATATTGTGTGTTCGTTCTGACAGAGATACTCTGTGATGTATTTTTTATATGTGTTCCTTCTGACAGAGATACTCTATGATGTATTATATGTGTTCCTTCTAACATAGATATTCCATGATGTATTTTTATATGTGTTCCTTGGGACAAAGATACTCTATGATGTATTATATGTGTTCCTTGTGACAGAGATACTCTATGATGTATTGTATGTGTTCTTTGTGACAGAGATACTCTATGATGCATTATATGTGTTCCTTCTGACATAGAAATTCCATGATGTATTTTTTATATGTGTTCCTTGGGACAAAGATACTCTATGATGTATTATATGTTTTCCTTGTGACAGAGATACTCTATGATGTATTGTATGTGTTCTTTGTGACAGAGATACTCTATGATGCATTGTATGTGTTCCTTGGGACAGATATACTCTATGATGCATTGTATGTGTTGCTTCTGACAGAGATACTCTATAATGTATGTGTTCCTTGGGACAGAGATACTCTATGATGTATTGTATGTGTTCCTTCTAACAGAGATAATCTATGATGTTTTATATGTGTTTCTTGTGACAGAGATACTCTGTGATGTATTTATTATATGTTTTCACTTTAAAAGAGATACTTTATGATGTATTATGTGTGTTTGTTCTGACAGAGATACTCTATGATGTATTGTATATGTTCCTTCTGACAAAGAAGCTCTATGATGTAATGTATGTGTTCCTTGTATGTTTTCCATGTACCAGATCTGCTACCTGTCGTATGGGACCAAAGATGTGCTAGAGAGAGAGTGTAAACACCTCCACAAGAAGATCAAGGTAGGTAACTGCTGGCTGTGTTTCAAGTTATATCAAGAGAAGTAACTCCTATCTTCTTGTCAAGGGAATTAACTTCCATTTGTATATCATGACAAGTGAGTGCTAACTGTGTATATCATGACGAGTGAGTGCTAACTGTGTATATCATAACGAGTTAGTGCTAACTGGAAATATTGCTTTGCTGGATTCCCTGTCTGGGTTCTGGGGCCTCATAGTGGTGGAGACAAGGGGGGATAAAAGACCCAGTGCAGCCCTGACAAGCAAGTCATAAAAGGTGACTTATTAGGGCTGGTTTCTTCTTTATAGTTGGAGTGGATCTGTCTGAGAGGTGAGAAACCAACAGTATACATAAAATATTTCAGATCTGTAAAACAGATGTGCATGCAAAAACTCAAGCAGAACATTCCGCTGGAGTTTGTAGCCAGCAAATGTGAATGATCATCTTGTTTAATTGTGCAAGAGTTTACACCTGAACAGTCAGAGGGAGGTTAGAACAAGCAAAGGAATGTCATAGAACAGGAATGTCATAGAACAGGAATGTCATAGAACAGGAATGTCATAGAACAGGAATGTCATAGAACAGGAATGTCATAGAACAGGAATGTCATAGAACAGGAATGTCATAGAACAGGAATGTCATAGAACAGGAATGTCATAGAACAGGAATGTCATAGAACAGGAATGTCATAGAACAGGAATGTCATAGAACAGGAATGTCATAGAACAGGAATGTCATAGAACAGGAATGTCATAGAACAGGAATGTCATAGAACAGGAATGTCATAGAACAGGAATGTCATAGAACATAGAACAGGAATGTCATAGAACAGGAATGTCATAGAACAGGAATGTCATAGAACAGGAATGTCATAGAACAGGAATGTCATAGAACAGGAATGTCATAGAACAGGAATGTCATAGAACAGGCCTATTCAACTGGTGGCCCGCAGGACAAATCTGGATCCCGAAACCTAGCAAATGGCCCGCGGATCATTGTCAGCTTTTCTGTTTAAGTCATCTTTCTATGCTGTTGTTGGATCCTCTGGCCAGAGCTGACCCCATATTCCACATTTTGGTCCCCAAATAAACTAAGCTGAACAGCCCAGTCGTAGAAGTTCCACATAAGATGTGCAATGAGAGGGTTGTGTTTTATCACCACTACTGTTCATACGTCGACCACATTTGCAAATCAGCTAACACCAGCAGAGGGGACAGTATTGGAAAATTACTAAATGAATGTTTGTTGTTGTTGTTTTCAACAACCAGGCAGTTATAGCACCAGCAGAAGTACAACTACAGGAACAAATCAGTAGAATCCACCCAGTAAGCGACAACTATGATAGGAGGATATGCATAGAAAAAAGCAGAAGTGATGACATTTTTTAGAAAAGAAGAACCACCAAGATCAACATTGATAAAAATGAGTTGAAGCAGCGAAGGACTTTAATATCTAGGAAGCATTTTTCTGAAAGCGGAAGAATGAATACGAAAATACAACAGAGAGGGAAAAAAATGCTAACAATGTTATAGCATAGATGACAGCAATACTTGAATGCAAGGATGTGAATATGAACACTAGAAGAGTATTCTTGCCAGTGCTATGCTAGCAGTATCAAACATGGACACTCTCTTCAGAAGACAGAAGCAAAATGGTCAGGGCAGAAGTGAAATGTTTCAATGGTTTGGCCATGTAACAAGACTGGCAGTTCATAGGGCACCACAGAAAGAGGTGTTATACAGACACACTTGTAACAGAGCCAGTGGTCAAATAAGGATTTACGGAGAAATATTGGAGCAACAGAAAAGTACTAAATACGAGAGGTCTCTTCCTGCTGTGACACTGTGCGACATTCCAAGAATAGAGAATAGAAGAGAAGAAGAAGAATGTGAAAATGAAGAAATCTTGCTGTGGGTGCAAGTGAACTTGAGGCATGACCAACCAGACACTTCTAAAAACAGAGCAATCATTTTGTCTGCCCATTGCAATAGCAGCACAGATTACAGAACCAGACAGACCAAACATATCAGACCATAACTGTTTGTCTAATCTAGGAAATCTCTGGTTGTTAGTGTCTAGCCTTGAATTGTTTTGTGAGGATTATTCTGACACTTGTTCTAGTTGCAGTCAGCGTTATCATTAACTAAGTTGCTCTGATGTTGTCAGGTTATATTAGACGGGAAGGAGATTGTGTTGCCAGAGATTGAGGGTGTGGTTGTCCTCAACATTGCCAGTTGGGGCGGTGGATGTCAGCCGTGGGGATCTGGTGTGTCTGAGGAAGGTTATACAGATCCAAGGTAGGACAGTTTGTCCATGGGTATTGCCTATTTCGTTGCCTACCTGTCAGTCTCTCTGTCCTCTCTCAGAGTCTGCCTAATTGTCTGTCAGTCAGTCTGTTCTCCCTGTCTAACTACATACTTGTCTGAGAATGTGTCTGGTTGGCTGTTAATTGTTTGCCTGCGTGCATGTCTGTCTATCAGAAATCAGTCTGTTTTGTATTTGCGACTGTGTGGAGCCCCAGGTATGTAACTGTGTCTGCTTGTTTTATGTGAACTATTGGGAAAGATATAAATGAAGGGGGAAGATAAAGAAAAAGCAGGATAACTAGGACTGTCAGATTATCAGTGGACTAAAAAAAGTCTGGAAGTCACTTGGCTACATTGTTGCAGTTGTGTGTGCAGGCCAAGCTGGTGTCTGTGTCAGTTGTGTGTGCAGGCCAGGTTGGTGTCTGTGTCAGTTGTGTGTGCAGGCCAGGCTGGTGTCTGTGTCAGTTGAGTGTGCAGGCCAGGCTGGTGTCTGTGTCAGTTGTGTGTGCAGGCCAGGCTGGTGTCTGTGTCAGTTGTGTGTGCAGGCCAGGCTTGTGTCTGTGTCAGTTTGTTGTGTGCAGGCCAGGCTTGTGTCTGTGTCAGTTGTGTGTGCAGGCCAGGCTGGTGTCTGTGTCAGTTGTGTGTGCAGGCCAGGCTTGTGTCTGTGTCAGTTGTGTGTGCAGGCCAGGCTGGTGTCTGTGTCAGTTGTGTGTGCAGGCCAGGCTGGTGTCTGTGTCAGTTGTGTGTGCAGGCCAGGCTTGTGTCTGTGTCAGTTGTGTGTGCAGGCCAGGCTGGTGTCTGTGTCAGTTGTGTGTGCAGGCTAGGCTTGTGTCTGTGTCATTTGTGTGTGCAGGCCAGGCTGGTGTCTGTGTCAGTTGTGTGTGCAGGCCAGGCTTGTGTCTGTGTCAGTTGTGTAGATGTATTGTCGGCTGTGTAGTGATGATGGAGATGTCCTGCTCCCACAGGTATGATGATGGTGTCTTGGAGGTGATGGGGCTCTTTTCATCATTCCATATAGCCCAGCTGCAGGTAGGACTGGCTTCACCGCTGCGGCTAGGTCAAGCTAAGGAGGTCACGGTAAGGTCACTTTATTTTCCTGTGTTTTAGCATGTGATTTATTTGGTTTCTCCTTTACACACACACATGCATGCACACACCCGCACGTGCACACACACACACACACATGCACAGGTGAACACACCGCATATGTGGGTGTGTGTGCGCGAGCATGCCTGTGTAAGTAAGTAAGTAAGAAATAGACCTGTTATTGAGAGCGCAGAGAAGTAAAGATGTTTTAGATATGTCATGTCTCTGTATAGATTCTGAGTCACCTTTTGGGGGACAAAAGAAAATCTCCTACCCCTAAAAGGGGATTAACTAGGGGTGTTTCTCTCGAAGCCACACTGAGACTACCTCAGAGGTGAGGAACCAAAAATCTGCATTAAAAAAAAGCCAGATCTGAAGAAATGTCACTGTCATGTCTTTCCACTGCTGAACCTGTGGAAGAACGTGGTTCGTTCCCTCAAAACATTCAGTATCGTATCGTATTGTATAAAATCAAACAAAAATTCCAAGCTTAGTTCTTTTTTAGCCGCCTGATGGTCTGCTTTTTCAAGGACGGTTCCTTTGCTATCTTATTTATTTATCTTCCTTTGTAGTGAGCGATTACACCTGAGTTTGTTCATTTGTTGCCTAAGTTCTGGTCTTGATGGGTCCTGGTTCCTGTTTTAGTTGGCTATTCGTTAGCTGTTGCACTGTTCATCTGTGTAAGTACCAAGTCAGTCCTCAGCCACACCGCCGCGAAACAAACAGTCCCGCAAACTGAGCGTCCTAAACACGGCCCCCACCAGGACGACTGTCACCATCTTGTTGTTGTGTGCAGCCGTTAAATATGTAGAGGAGGTAACAAAGGTTTGCAAAAAAATTAGAACGCCCGAAGGTGCCAAGATATTTTATAGTTAGGTCGGAAGATGGAGAGAGACAGCTTGCTAGGTTGAGGAAGAGGTCCTTGGTGAGTTGAGCCCTGCGCACTGCCTGCTCTGCCTGGCTTGATCTGAAAATAGAATGATTTACATTTTAGATGTGTGGGGGGGGGGGGGGGTGAGATTATCAGAGAAGCGTAATGGCCTGGAATCCACGAGTGGTGGTCCCCTTATTGTACTATGCCCTTTTAGCTGGATTGCCTCAGAGTGTCGGGTGGCCTTTGGTGGGTTCCGTCGGCTTTTAGCTGAAAATAGGTTGATTAACATTTAAACATATGTGGGAGGGGCGGGGGAGTTACAAAATGAAATGCCTAATAGACTGAAATCCACGAGTGCTGGTCCCCTTCTTGTGCTATGCCCTTTTAGCTGGTTTGCCTCGGAGCGTCGGGTGACCTTTGGTGGGTTCTGTCGTTTTAATCTTTCTGAAAATACACTAAGAGAAATTTATGTTATTTGGATTGTTTTAGACTGAGTGATTCGCCTGTGGTAGAGATGGAGTGGAGATAGTACAGGCAGAGTAGCAGGAATGCTTTTGAGAGGACATACAGTGAGGTCGGAAGAGTGAGTGAGAGGTAAAGTTGGCTCTGTTGAGGGTGCTGGTACTCACTGGATCTGGTCAGTCACATCATGACGAGGGGTGGCTCTCAGATCGTGTTTCCTGGTTCTGGATATGAACTGCTTCACAAGTCGCTGGACCTTGTCGTCACAGCTTACACTGAGGCAGTTTTTAATTGTCATTGGTTGGTTTGTGGCTCGAGCATGAGCTCTTGTCTCTCTGTTTCGTGGTGTTTACAGTTTAGTAAGAAGTGCTCCATGGAGTTAGGGGCCCTGCATTCCTCGCACACAGGAGTGCGGAATCGGTCTGGCCAGCACCCTAGTCGCATCTTCCACAGTTTTCGAATGGCCAGGATTTTGGTCGGTTTAGTCACTTGATTCTTGGGACTGGGTTTGTTGAGTAGTTTGTAGGCAGCTTTGCCTTTGTCGCTGGTCGACCACTGCTGGGACCATTCTCTGCATATTTTGCTTTTGATAATTGCTTTCAATTCAGTTTTGCCCAGTCCCGCGAATACTGTGTTGTGGCTAGAAGTGCCCCTTTTCGCCGCTCCATCTGCTGCTTCATTGCCTTCAATGCCTATGTGTGCTGGGATCCAACCGATGGTGATTTGGCATCCCAGGCTTCTTAGTCTGGTGGAAATTGTCAGGATTTCTTCTTTGATGTCTTGCCGGCTCACTTTCGAAAAGTCCCTCAGGGCTTGTACTGCTGATAGTGAGTCAGAAAGGACGAGGAGTTTTATGGGGGGGCCGTTCGCAGGCTAGCTCCAGTGCTTTAAGAATCCCTACCAGCTCCGCTGAGCAGACTGCCATATCCTTAGTGAGTCGGTATTCGTGTGTGGTCTTCCAGGCCGGTATGTAAACACCGGCCCCGACTTCTCCCGTACTGGTTTTCGAGAAGTCTGTGTATATTATCATCGAGTCTATTTCTGCATCACGGATGTACTGGTCGACTCTCGACCTTGCATCGAGTATGTCCTGGTTTCTGTCTGTCACGTGGGCGAGGCTTTCGTCGGTGAACAGTGTTTTAAGCTCCCAGGTGGGGATGGTCGGGTGGTATTTCTTACCGCTGGTTGTGGTGGGGGTGTCAGTTTCGGATGCCGTTTTCCAGGCGGCCGGTCTCTGGAATGTTTGCATTGGGATGCTGACCTTTGACCAGGGGTATTCGTTGACAGCAAGTGCCTGGATGGCAGGGTGGCCTGGGTCAAGTGCCTGGATGGCAGGGTGGCGTGGATCAAGTGCCTGGATGGCAGGGTGGCCTGGGTCAAGTGCCTGGAAGGCAGGGTGGCCTGGGTCAAGTGCCTGGATGGCGGGGTGGCCTGGGTCAAGTGCCTGGATGGCAGGGTGGCGTGGATCAAGTGCCTGGATGGCAGGGTGGCGTGGGTCAAGTGCCTGGATGGCAGGGTGGCGTGGGTCAAGTGCCGCTTGGGACCAGTAGCCGTGTCTAAGCTGTTTCCTGCGTAGTTTCAGTGGTATGACGCCCAAGGCTACTTCCATGGCTTCTTGACTAGTTCCTTTCCCTGCCCCTAGGATGATTGTCATCGCCTGGTTCTGAATTGTGTTTAGAGTCTCTTTTTTGGCATCAGAAGCAGCATCATATACGATCGAACCGTATTCAATTTTGCTTCGGATAAATGCCTTGTAAAAATTTAGTAGTGTCTTTGTGTGTGCGCCCCAGCCGGATCCTTTGATTATTCTTAGCAGGTTGTTATTGCTCTTACATCTTGCGACAGTTTGTTCGATGTGTCGACTCCAGATCATTTGGGAGTCGAGCAACATTCCCAGAAATGTCGTTTGTGTCTTTCTTCAGATCTTGCTGCTGGGTCTTATAGGGGCTGCAGTTGATGTCCTAAAGCCAGATGTGTTGAACTGGCTAATGTGTGTTGTGCTGGCTGATGTGTGTTGTGCTGGTTAATGTGTAGTATACTGGCTGGTGTGTGGTGTACTGGCTGGTGTGTGGTGTACTGGCTGATGTGTGGTGTACTGGCTGATGTGTGGTGTACTGGCTGGTGTGTGGTGTACTGGCTGATGTGTGGTGTACTGGCTGGTGTGTGGTGTACTGGCTGGTGTGTGGTGTACTGGCTGATGTGTGGTGTACTGGCTGATGTGTGGTGTACTGGCTGATGTGTGGTGTACTGGCTGGTGTGTGGTGTACTGGCTGGTGTGTGGTGTACTGGCTGATGTGTGGTGTACTGGCTGATGTGTGGTGTACTGGCTGGTGTGTGGTGTACTGGCTGGTGTGTGGTGTACTGGCTGATGTACTGGCTGCTGGTGTGTGGTGTACTGGCTGGTGTGTGGTGTACTGGCTGATGTGTGGTGTACTGGCTGATGTGTGGTGTACTGGCTGATGTGTGGTGTACTGGCTGATGTGTGGTGTACTGGCTGATGTGTGGTGTACTGGCTGATGTGTGGTGTACTGGCTGATGTGTGGTGTACTGGCTGATGTGTGGTGTGTACTGGCTGATGTGTGGTGTACTGGCTGATGTGTGGTGTACTGGCTGATGTGTGGTGTACTGGCTGATGTGTGGTGTACTGGCTGATGTGTGGTGTACTGGCTGATGTGTGGTGTACTGGCTGATGTGTGGTGTACTGGCTGATGTGTGGTGTACTGGCTGATGTGTGGTGTACTGGACTTGACTTTGATGGATGTTGTCGTCTGGTCTTCCTCTCTCAACAGTCAGTTTCACGTTCTCATTCGCGAGAACACTCCCATGTCCTCTCGTTCTCACAGTCAACAAATACTGTCTGATCAGACTGGAATCTACTTATACTCAGTGTTCGTTCCACGTGGCAACGCGTGGTTGTTCTTGGGTTCCATGTGGCGACCTGTGGTCGTTCTCCTTGGGTTCCACGTGATAACTCGTGGTTGTCCTCTATCTTGAAAACCTCAGTTAATCAGAGTATCTGGTTTCTCTCTGTATTGTTGCTAACTTAGGGCTTTCCCCCCAACCTTCAATCAGGGTGAAAATATCACCCATTACAACTGACAACAGATTTTAACATAAATACAGTCTTGCAAGAGTGGATGATGTCAGTAGTACACCAGTTACACAGTCTTGACTCAGTGGATGATGTCAGTAGTACACCAGTTACACAGTCTTGACTCAGTGGATGATGTCAGTAGTACACCACTTACACAGTCTTGACTCAGTGGATGATGTCAGTAGTACACCACTTACACAATCTTGACTCAGTGGATGATGTCAGTAGTACACCAGTTACACAGTCTTGACTCAGTGGATGATGTCAGTAGTACACCACTTACACAGTCTTGGCTCAGTGGATGATGTCAGTAGTACACCAGTTACACAGTCTTGACTCAGTGGATGATGTCAGTAGTACACCACTTACACAGTCTTGACTCAGTGGATGATGTCAGTAGTACACCAGTTACACAGTCTTGACTCAGTGGATGATGCCAGTAGTACACCAGTTACACAGTCTTGACTCAGTGGATGATGTCAGTAGTACACCGGATATAGTCTTGGCTCAGTCAATGAGGTCAGTAGTACACCAGATACACAGTCTTGACTCAGTGGATGATGTCAGTAGTACACCAGATACACAGTCTTGACTCAGTGGATGATGCCAGTAGTACACCAGATACACAGTCTTGGCTCAGTGGATGATGCCAGTAGTACACCAGTTACACAGTCTTGGCTCAGTGGATGATGCCAGTAGTACACCAGATACACAGTCTTGGCTCAGTGGATGATGCCAGTAGTACACCAGTTACACAGTCTTGACTCAGTGGATGATGTCAGTAGTACACCAGATACACAGTCTTGGCTCAGTGGAGGATGTCAGTAGTACACCAGTTACACAGTCTTGGCTCAGTGGATGATGTCAGTAGTACACCAGTTACACAGTCTTGGCTCAGTGGATGATGTAAGTAGTACACCAGATACACAGTCTTGACTCAGTAGATTTTATGGATCTATACTAGATATTCACCAGTGGTCAGAGACCTCATGCCTGCTGTAACGGTATATGGCTTGTCTTGTAGGCCTGTGACAGATAAACTTATCCTTAACACACTAAACCCAAACCTACAGAGCACACAACAATCGTTAATTTGCAGGACAATATCAGACGGTAGTTTGCCTCAGAAGTCGTGGAAACCCTATCCAAAACAAAGGCAGTGAGGGCTTTACAAATCACCTCTCACTCCTGTCATGTTCCCATGGATATTACCTGATTCCGTACAGCTCTTTCCTCTGTTACTGATCTCTACACCAGGACCGCGGAGCGTTTGCAGAGTGCGGGGCAAAGTGAGTGAGGACAGATCAAATCAAAACAGCCAATACAAACCAATCTTAGTTACTAGACTAACTATAACAGCTTTACTAACTACCCGTGTAACAAATGACACAGAACCTATCTCTGTCTAGCACTGTATAACACACAAGAATTGCTACTATCATATTGAAACACATTGTAACAAACAGTATCTGTTACTATGGTCTAAACACAACACATTGCAATCTAACTGTCAAACTATTAAGTCCCTACAGTCTCATGTCCTGAAAACAGCCTCTCTGTGTTGATTTGTTTTGCTGTCCGCTGGTTTTGTTTCAGTAAGCAGTTTAATCCATGTTTTTGCGGGACTCATGGCATCGTAAACAAACCTTTGTGATATTCATGACTTATTATCATTATCAGTTGGTCTTAGTAAACTCCAGGTCATGCCTTGGTCATATAAGTGCAGACACAAAACATTCACACGGCTATCCCATACCCACACCGGCCTTTAACAGCTAAAATGTGAGTAGTTTCTGGTGTACTTTCTGTTTCTATGTTGTTCTCTCTCTATGCTGTTCTGTCTATCTACACAGGACTGTCAAGAGTACAAATGGGACTATCATTAGCCTGTGGTGGTGATGTCATGTCAAGTTGATGACATCAGCATCATGGCTCTTTCTTAAGCTGGGCTTGATGCTGCTGCCTTTCTCTGATGTCATAGTGTTTTTACTTTCCCTTTCTCTGATGTCATAGTGTTTTTAATATCCCTTTCTCTAATGTCAAAGTGTTTTTACTCCCCCTTTCTCTGATGACATAGTGTTTTTACTATCCCTTTCTCTGATGTCATAGTGTTTTTACTATCCCTTTCTCTGATGTCATAGTGTTTTTACTCTCCCTTTCTCTGACATCATAGTGTTTTTAACATCCCTTTCTCTGATGTCACAGTGTTTTATCTCTTCCTTTCTCTGATGTCATAGTGTTTTTACTCTCCCTTTCTCAGATGTCACAGTGTTTTTACTCTCCCTTTCTCTATTGTCCCTGCTTTTACTCTCCCTTTCTCTGAGGTCACAGTGTTTTTACTCTCCCTTTCTCTGATGTCATAGTGTTTTCACTCTCCCTTTCTCTGATGTCACAGTGTTTTTACTCTCCCTTTCTCTGATGTTACAGTGTTTTTACTATCCCTTTCTCTGATGTCACAGTGTTTTTACTCTCCCCTTCTCTGATGTCAGTGTTTTTACTCAGTGTTTTTACTCTCCCCTTCTCTGATGTCAGTGTTTTTACTCTCCCTTTCTCTGATGACATAGTGTTTTTACTATCCCTTTCTCTGATGACATACTGTTTTTACTCTCCCTTTTTATGATGTCATAGTGTTTTTACTCTCCCTTTCTCTGATGTCATAGTTTTGGTTAGTATTTCTCCACTGAATACACTGGCAGTTTTAGTCAGAAATCTGGTCTCACATGTTGCAACCTGTCCTGTTTTGTATCTGGGCTAGGGACCATATCTGATGTTGGTAACAAAGAGTTGGTTTAAATAAATTATGTTTGAGTCATTAAAGGAGCTGATAAATAATTGCAGTAGCATTCTGTCATCTTGTTTTGATCTTTCTCTCAAGTCACCCATCTGCAAAAAAATACTCATTTATTTATGTAATCTGTTTGATCGTTCATTTGATAATCTGAAAGTGGACCAAATCATCTAGTATTCTACAAATTGTCTGACTGGTGCTTAATTTTCAGATAATCTTGCATGGAGGGAATGCACCCATACAGGTGGATGGGGAACCATGGGAGCAGCACCCGGCTGTCATTTCCATCACGCACAGGGGTCAAGCGGCCATGATGGCATTAAAGGATTCCTGATTGTGATCACAGGAACTAGTTTATTCCAGCCTTTCTTTTGTGACCAGGGACCATTGTCTTCACACTGCAGGGAAGGGGGGGGGGGGGGTCATCTCCAGGACTGACAGAATGTCTGAGCATATTAAATTTATTATGTGGTTGTATTTGTGCAATCATCACATGTTTTGTGTGATCATTAATGTAACTGAGTGATCAGTGAAAATGAAAATGTATTATACCATGAATATGAAAAGATGCCATTAGAAATGTGTGAGATGATATTCCACACTTGACTTTTGTAGAAAGGTGTCCAGCAAAAATAGTTTTAACATCTGAAAATGAAGTCCAGTCTGGCCAGGAAAGGTGAAAGGTCAGCAACTTCCAGCAGAAAGTTGTATTTGTTTGCCAAATTCAGGTCTGCTATTTGGAGAGAGAAAAACACTTGTTTAGATGTGAGAGGGTTGACTTCATTGCATCAGCTTTGATCCAGCCTCGCTCATTCTTTCTTGGTAGAGTGGCTGGACAGCATCTGAGTGTGTCATACAGACTTTGTGCCTGCATTCTGGGAAACAAGCAAACATTGCACTATGAACTCAAAAGGTGATGAATCTTGTGGGAAAACTTTATTTGCAGTGGGGGTTGTTCATGTCTAAGGAATCTTCTTGTGAGGGGAATCTTCTTGTGAGGGGAATCTTCTTCTTGTGAGGGGAATCTTCTTGTGAGGGGAATCTTCTTGTGAGGGGAATCATCTTCTTGTGAGGGGAATCTTCTTGTGAGGGGAATCTTCTTGTGAGGGGAATCTTCTTCTCGTGAGGGGAATCTTCTTGTGAGGGGAATCATCTTCTTGTGAGGGGAATCATCTTCTTGTGAGGAAAATCATCTTCTTGTGAGGAAAATCTTCTAGTTTATTGGGTGCTGTTGTGGTATGGTGACTGTTTGAGTGTAACTGATGTTCTGTTCATGTGGAAAAACTTCTAGACTAAATCTTCTGTCTGAATGAGATACTTCTAGTGATAGGGAAAATCTCTTCAGGGCAAAGGTCATCTGCTGATGATGAGAACATCTCTACGGGAAAGAGATGAATGATTGCCTGAGATATCTTCATGGATTTTTTAAATGTTTGTGAATTTACGATCTATTACTCTCATGTGATTTGCGTTCAAATGCTGCTCTCATCTGACTGAATCATTGTGACTGTATTTTGTCTGAAAATGTAACATTAACATATAAAAGCTTATATACACCCATGCTCTATAATTATGAAAGAATTTTTTTAATGCGGCTGGGCCTTCCTAGTCACACTGGCCGTTGCCATGGGCTGTGAGTCCTATGCCTTCTGATGACACATTATAACACTATTGTGTGGAATGGTGCCAACAGTATATACATATCTCGAATATTGATTTTGGTTTTAAGGATTTTTTCCATTAATTCACACGGGGTCATGACCCATTTTAAAGTGTGACCGGGGCGACAGAGTTAATCTGTCCTTTTCTGCTTCTACTCTAGAGTCTCTACTCTAGAGACTGTTTCACAGTCATTAATCTTCTTTCATGTAGCCTAGAGTGTTAAATATCTCACTGTCTTGTTTAGTCTTCTTTCATCTAGCCTAGAGTGTTGAATATCTCACTGTCTTGTTTAGTCTTCCCTCATCTAGCCTTGAGTGTTAAATATCTCACTGTCTTGTTTAGTCTTCCCTCATCTAGCCTAGAGTGTAGAATATCTCACTGTCTTGTTTAGTCTTCCCTCTCGTAGCCTAGAGTGTTGAATATCTCACTGTCTTGTTTAGTCTGCTATCATGTAGCCTAGAGTGTTGAATATCTCACTGTCTTGTTTAGTCTGCTCTCATCTAGCCTAGAGTGTTGAATATCTCACTGTCTTGTTTAGTCTGCTCTCATGTAGCCTAGAGTGTTAAATATCTCACTGTCTTGTTTAGTCTTCCCTCATCTAGCCTAGAGTGTAGAATATCTCACTGTCTTGTTTAGTCTTCCCTCTCGTAGCCTAGAGTGTTGAATATCTCACTGTCTTGTTTAGTCTGCTCTCATGTAGCCTAGAGTGTTGAATATCTCACTGTCTTGTTTATTCTGCTCTCATCTAGCCTAGAGTGTTGAATATCTCACTGTCTTGTTTAGTCTGCTCTGAATATCTTACTGTCTTGTTTAGTCTGCCCTCATCTAGCCTAGAGTGTTGAATATCTCACTGTCTGGTTTAGTCTTCCCTCATCTAGCCTAGAGTGTTGAATATCTCACTGCCTGGTTTAGTCTTCCCTCATCTAGCCTAGAGTGTTGAATATCTCACTGTCTGGTTTAGTCTTCCCTCTTCTAGCCTAGAGTTTTAAATATCTTACTGTCTTATTTAATCTTCCCTCTTAAACAAAACTAACAATTTTGTTAAATCTTTTTTCTTCTACCCCAGAGTGTTTAATTACTATTATCTTATGTGTTTTTCTTATTTACGTATTATTATACTATGTATAACGTCTGAGAGTATATACAAGTATATGTATGTACGTGCGAACAAAACTATATGAACCAGTCATTCCAATACTCATTCACTCACTAACTGCCATTAATTTTAACAGTGTTGGCTGCATAAATTTATGCGAGAAAACAAGGACAATGACATTATACCAAAACTTCAGTCAGAACATGGGGACATGTGGCAGACCAGGGACATTTGGACATGTGGCAGACCAGGGACATGGGGACATGTGGCAGACCAGGAATATGGGGACATGTGGCAGACAGACCAGGAACATGGGGACATGTGGCAGACCAGGAATATGGGGACATGTGGGGAGACAGACCAGGAACATGGGGACATTTTGCCAACAGACCAGGAACATGGGGACATTTTGCAGACAGACCAGGAATATAGGGACATGTGGCAGACAGACCAGGAACATGGGGACATTTTGCAGACAGACCAGGAATATAGGGACATGTGGCAGACAGACCAGGAACATGGGGACATTTTGCAGACAGACCAGGAATATGGGGACATGTGGCAGACAGACCTGGAACATGGGGACATGTGGCAGACAGACCAGGAACATGGGGACATGTGGGAGACATACCAGGAACATGGGGACATGTGGGAGACAGACCAGGAACATGGGGACATTTTTCAGACAGACCAGGATCATGGGGACATTTTGCCAACAGACCAGGAACATGGGGACATTTTGCAGACAGACCAGGAACATGGGGACATGTGGCAGACAGACCAGGAACATGGGGACATTTTGCAGACAGACCAGGAACATGGGGACATATGGCAGACCAGGAACATGGGGACATGTGGCAGACAGACCAGGAACATGGGGACATATGGCAGACAGACCAGGAACATAGGGACATGTGGCAGACAGATCAGGAACATAGGGACATATGGCAGACCAGGAACATGGGGACATTTTGCAGACAGACCAGGAATATGGGGACATGTGGCAGACAGACCAGGAACATGGGGACATTTTGCAGGCAGACCAGGAACATGGGGACATGTGGCAGACAGACCAGGAACATGGGGACATATGGCAGACCAGGAACATGGGGACATATTCTAACCCCCCCCCCCCCCCCTTCCCCCCCCCCCCCCCATAGGGTATTTGGAAATTTGGACATGAAGATGTCTGTACAGATCTAATGTATTGATTCATTGGTTTTCCTTCCAGTGTGCCATTATATGGCACATAGGACTCCTTGTAGTCTATTCTCTTATTGGATTCTATCCTGTGCATCAGATCTAATTTTGACTGTTTATTGTTCATATTACCAGTTATCCACAGCTGTTTCATTGTTGATTTTTACAAGACCACTGCCAGAATTGTATCTGTATTTCACCTCTACTCTGTCTGAGGTTTGTATGTTGTCTGGACAGTGTTCATATAATTGATGTTTCTTGCAATGCCAGCACAGTCAGCAGGCCATTTTTGTTGCAACCACAGAAAAAATGTCTACAGAAATAACCTGTCAGTAGTGGATTGTTACTGGCGGGGCAGTGGCCAGTTCAAGCCTGGCAACTGCTGAGGGAAGTGTGACACAAACATTTGCTACTTGCCAAGTTGTCACTTTATCTCAGCTGGCTCGGCCTCTCATCCACTACAACAGGATCACATGTGCACACTTTTATCTGAGCTGGCTCGGCCTCTCATCCACTAGAACAGGATCACATGTGCACACTTTATCTGAGCTGGCTCGGCCTCTCATCCACTTTAACAGGATCACATGTGCACACTTTATCTGAGCTGGCTCGGCCTCTCATCCACTACAACAGGATCACATGTGCACACTTTATCTGAGCTGGCTCGGCCTCTCATCCACTAGAACAGGATCACATGTGCACACTTTATCTGAGCTGGCTCGGCCTCTCATCCACTTTAACAGGATCACATGTGCACACTTTATCTGAGCTGGCTCGGCCTCTCATCCACTACAACAGGATCACATGTGCACACTTTATCTGAGCTGGCTCGGCCTCTCATCCACTTTAACAGGATCACATGTGCACACTTTATCTGAGCTGGCTCGGCCTCTCATCCACTACAACAGGATCACATGTGCACACTTTATCTGAGCTAGCTCGGCATCTCATCCACTACAACAGGATCTCATGTGCACACTTTATCTGAGCTGGCTCGGCCTCTCATCCACTACAACAGGATCTCATGTGCACACTTTATTCATGTTCATTATGCTCCCTCTCTCCCAGTCGGCATTTGCTCATTGTCTGTCTTTATTTGCAAACTGATTATTTCCTTTATATGTTTTCAAGTATTGCATGTTGGCGCTTTTATTTACTAATGATATTTGTGCAAGTTTATATTTGACAATGTTCAGTTGTTTGTAGTGCTTCTTAATTGTATTTTATATTTTGATTGGCATTGTCATATTTTATTTCATAATGAACATTCTGTAACTTGTTACTGTTGTCTGTATAAACGACCATCCTAGTGGTTACAAAATATCTCTGTTTATGTTGGTTGATTGTTGTCAGTTTGTTTATAAATGTTGTATTTTGTGGTCATGTCTAGGAAATGGTCATGGTGCCACTATACCATGGGAACTCTTGCCTGAAAAACGAAAGATTTTTATTGAAGGAACAGACAAACTTAACAATTGATGAAGGACCAAAACACAGAAGTCGATCACATGTTTAAAAAAAATGAAGATAATCTATGTGTGAACTGAAAAACTAGACAGTCAACATAGGAAGAGAAAAACTGCAGACAGTAACTTGTAGGAACAGAAAAACTGCAGACAATAACTTGTAGGAACAGAAAAACTGCAGACAATAACTTGAAGGAACAGAAAAACTGCAATCACTTGTAGGAGCAGAAAAAAACTGCAGACAATAACATGTAGGAAAAAAAAACTGCAGACAATAACTTGTAGGAACAGAAAAACTGCAGACAATAACTTGTAGGAACAAAAAAACAAAAAAACGGCGGACAGTAACTTGTAGAAACAGAAAAACTGCAGACAATAACTTGTAGGAACAGAAAAACTGCAGACAATCACTTGTAGAAGCATAAACATTGATAAAAATCGCATATATAAAAAAGTTTGACTGAAGATAAATAAGGGCGAAAGACACTGCAACAGGGACTGACGGGGTTAGATATTCCCACATGAAAGACATGAGTGATGGTGACCTGGTGGAGATGACTGCTTGTTTCAACCAGAGCATTAGGACAGCTTCAGCCCCAGATGTGGATGAACAGCTACCTGATTCCACTTCCTAAGCCTGGCAAGAATCATTTAACATCCGCTTTGGTGTCATAGTCCTACACAACACCTTTGGTAAAGTGCTGGAGAAGATAGTGGCGGGTAAGCTACAAGAATTTTTGGAAGGACACGTGATCAAATGCAGCCACTTTTGCCTCCAGAACATACAGGAAACGGTGGCAGCGGCACTTGATTTAGAAGACGCTTACAACAGAGTCATATACAGTATCTTGATGAAGGCGCTTATGGAGAAGGCAGTCTGTCCTTGGTTGGTGAATTGGATAGCAGCTGTTTTGTACACTCGCCGGGTAGCTCTCCGCCTGGGTTCCTGGACCTCTGAACCTTGTAATAAAGCTCAAGGACAGAGGGTCTGCAATTTCACCTGTACTGTTCAGTATTTTTATGAACAAGATTGCGGACCTTGAAACACCCGGGGTTGGCAGAATATTGACATGTGCAGATGATATTCTTGTATATAGGAGGGGGAGAGATCGGAATCTAATAGCTGAAGAGGCACAGGCGACAGTAGATACGGCGATCGACTGGTGTACAGAGATGAGTGCTGTAATGAGCACAGAAGAGGTAACCGTCCTGTGGGGTTCTTAGGATAACAGGGTTGTTAGTGCTGATGTCCCAAGACTCAAAATAAATGGCAGGGACATCAAAAGAGACAGCAGACTACGGAACCTAGGAATCACCTTTGGCATACGTTTTTCTTTCAAGGATAACATAGAGGGGATTGTGACAAAGGCTCAAAAAGGTCTTATTGCGCTAAAGATTATGGCAGCGATGGACATGGAGCAGAGAATGCTGTTCACACTTTACCAGCACTTAATCATCTCAGTGATCGGGGTTACTCACTGTCTCGAAGAGTCAGCTAGAGAAACTGGAGCGCATACAGAAAGAAGCTGTGCGGCTGATCCTAGGATGTACAAGAGACACCCCGATTGTGTGCATGCGATACATCCTTGCATTGCCGACTATTGCAGATAGGCTAAAAGTGCTGCAGGCTAAGTCATACCTCAGAGTAGCTGCAGACAGGGAACACCCTCAGTATGAAGCTTCGTCTGCCTATAAGGATCAGAGGCTAAAAAGGGGAAAATCGTGGATGGCTCAAGCAGAAGACACAATAAGACGAGTATGCATGCTGGAGAAAATTGGGCGAGGAGAGGAGTGGGTCAGAGTACCAGAGGAAAAGTTTGACTTGTGTAGGGGGGTAAACCTTATGGAAATCTCCCTATGTGTATTAGTTCAGCTTATTTACGCACTGTGTCACTTTTGACTGGTACTTACTCAGGCTTGTCAACTGTGCTGAAGGTTACAGGAGTGTCCCGGTGTACTGTTTGCAGGAAAGCTTTCTGCGCTGTCTTCCATTTAAGTTTTTATTCCGAGAAAGACAATGTGTGACCTATGTTGCAGCACTCTCGTAGGCTGGTTTGTGTTAGGGTCAGTCCTGCATGTTTCTGGAGCGTTAAAAGCGCTGACTTATTGGAATATACAACATCGTTTATATCGCGTGTTGTATATTTCAGCACGTCAGTGCTTTTAACGCTCCAAAAACATGCAGGTCTGACCATGTCTCAAGCTGTGACACCTCATGCTCTTGTGTGTCTGAGACACATCCTCGTGTGTTGGTAGAACGTAGCCCTTAAACTGTGCCACCTCATGGCCTTGTGTGTCCGAGACACATCCTCATGTGTTGGTAGAACGTAGCCCTTAAACTGTGTCACCTCATGCTTTTGTCTGTCCGAGACACATCCTCATGTGTTGGTAGAACGTAGTCCTTAAACTGTGTCACCTCACGGCCTTGTGTGTCTGAGACACATTCTCGTGTGTTGGTAGAACGTAGTCCTTAAACTGTGCCACCTCATGCTTTTGTGTGTCTGAGACACATCCTCATGTGTTGGTAGAACGTAGCCCTTAAACTTTGTCACCGCATGCTCTTGTGTGTTCGGAAAACGTTAACCTTGACACTTCGCTACCTGACGTTCCCGCATGTTCCGAGACCAGGTAATCACAATTTTTAACATCGTAGCCAACATGTCACCCCACAGTTGCTCTTCTCCCGTGCCAATGAAAACCATACAGAATGTCCAATACTGTCCCTTATGGACAAATTGACACAAACTGCACTTTCCACATATCCAATTGCATACATAGGCATCAAATGCATAAGGCAGCCGTTAGAAATGCTGACACAAATAGTTAAACTCTAGAAAAACAGTTCATCATCGATGGAAGCAGTACTTTCAACAGACCAGTAGTTGCACGCGCAGTTAATCACATAATGCCCCACCAGTTAGTTCTATGGCAACAGGCCGTTCGCTTTTTCTGAATCTACGGGTCACGACACAAACCACATTGGTCACAGTTGGAAAACATTCCAAAAGAAATCCCCAGTTCACAGTGCCGCGCCAAGCACTCAGCTTAGTAATAGCGCGACGAAAATATATCCTTTCTGTCAAAGAATAGAGTAAAATGTAACAGCTAACTATTTTTATAAGCAAAAACTTGGGAGGAATAAAAATAGTAAACCAGCCTATCATC